CGAAACTGTCGAAACAAATTCTGAAAAGTTTCGACTTTTGCCAAAATGGGTTTAGGGTTTTGCCCCGCAACTATAGTTTGTAGTAATTTATAAAGTTTTCGACAAATAAAAGATATATTACAACGTCTGTATTCCATTGCTAAATATATATTTAGATAAATTTTTGCGAAAAATGAAATACGAAAAAAAAAAAAAACTAGTAAGATTTTAAATTAACATTCACTCACCAGTAGATACTATTTCCTTCCACTCGGAAGGCACATAATCTGAACTTCAAATTTCGTTTAAAAAAATTTCACTTGCCTGTAAATTTCACATTTAGTATCATAATCAACTTTTGGTAATTTAATTTGCTATTCTAACCTTGTGATTTTGATTTACTAAAATATTTTCAGACTGGATATCATGATTAAGGATCTAATTATAACATTTTTTTTTTTTTTTTTTTAGAAAAATATATAAATACAAAAAAAAGACAGATTCAAAAATTAAACGATTACATTTGCTTACCTTACATTCATGGAGATACGCGACACCACCATTCAGTAATCAAATAATACTTGAAATCCTCTTGCATTAGCACAATTATAAGTTATATACCGAAAAAAAAAAAAATGCAAATCCTTATGTAATTTCCAAAATGTGTCAAAAATAAAAATCGACGATTTTTTTTTTCTTCTAGAACGCCAAAATGTTTAGTCTAGAAAAGCATTATATTCTAATCACATTTCCGTTTTTTCTAAAATTGCCAAGAGGTTTGTAAGCAGAATACATTTCCGAATAGTAATCATTTTTCGATGACAAATAGACTCATTAAATCAAATATGGGAAGAATGCTTAGGTAAATCAGGTTTTTGATTTTATGTAATAAGAACTTAATTTTTAATTAAAAAAAAAAAAAAAAATTCTCAAAACCTGATTTTTCCTAACAATATTCCCTCATATTGTTGTATTCGTTTATATTTATAAACAATTTTAATTTGTAAGAAGTAGTAATTATGAGTGTTGACGCTTTACACTTTCGCAATTTAAATTTTATTAAATTCAATAAATTAAAAATAAGAAAAATTGGGGAAATAAAAATATAACGAAGTTACAAAGTTGCAACATAAAGTTAAAATTACGAAGCGATAATATCGCGAAGGAAAGGGAAGGAATTAAGGTGTATGTATGCAAATAAAGGAAGACGAACTGTGCTAAAAGAACTTTTCAAAATTCCTAGAGAAACCCAGCATATTCACAATATATTAAAATAAATAACTTGGCATCCTAACAATATGGCATCCTAATTGACATGGTATCCTAACAATAAGATCTTCAAAGGCTAAAGTTATCGAAGGCAATTATAGAATTTACTATTTACCGATTTTCTTTAAATTTGTTTTCTTGTTTAACACCTATTTGAAAAGATATTCGGACAAGTCGAATGTATTTTATAATAAAATTTTGATGTTTTGGTCATTCATAGGAAATTTAGTTATTTAATATATTTAATTTATAATTAACGTTAATACAAATTAGAACTATCGCGTTTTGAAAATTTATATCTGCATCATTCATTTAATCTGAAAGAATGAAGAAATAAAAAGATCTCAAAATTATTTTGTTTTTTATTATGTACAGTACTTTAACATGTACCGCTAAAATAAAAAGCATTGAGTCGTAGATCTTAGAAATTTGCTTTTTAGATATAAAAATGCACTGGCTTCGCTATTTTTTATCCGGTAAACAAATCGTGAAAAAATTTCGGTCGTAATGAAGTGATGTCAGATGTACCGATGTACCGATGCATTAATTGTACTATGTAATTACTAAATTTTTTATTACCAAAAAAATCTTTCAGAAAAAATAATATTTAAGAAATTCCATATTCATTGCACGAGTCTTTAGCTTTAGAATGATCTGCCAAAGCAGCAGTTTTTAAATATTGGGCACCTAGTACCTTATCTTGAACAATTCCATTGATACCATTCCAATAAGCTTTTCCAACGATAAACATGGCCGTTGCATCATTTGAATCAGCAGACATTTTTAAATATTTAAAACCCTCAATGTAATTTTTTTCCTTTTGCCATAAATGCATTCCATACCTTAATTGAGCGGAAGAATTCCCTTTATCAGCAGTTTCTTTAAATATATTAATGGCTATTTTGATCCTTTCTTCCTCACTAATTAATTGTAATTCAGGTATATCTTCACCATGATGAAAATAATAATACCCTACCCAATATTTTGCCTCAACATCGATTACTGAGTGATATTTGAAACTATCCCATGCAACCAATTTCTTTCCATGTTTAGATTTGTGTTCGCGAATTGCGTCGTACACAGTAGCGAGAATAGTTATTGATGTTGAAACGGTAGTCGCATTTTGATTATTTTTTACAGAATAATTTACTTTATAGTCCTTAGAAGGTATCGGGGCTTCATTTTCATTATTCAAAACACTAGAACCGCTGTGTGGACGGGATGTACCCGAATATTGTTCCATCAATTTATAAAGTTTGCGACAAATAATAGAAATATTAGAACGCCAATCACGTTCGTATTCCATAGCTAAAAAAAAAATTTATTTACAAAAGAAAAAAATAAATAAATAAATTTGTAAATTGTAAATTTACTCACCAGTAGATACCATATCCTTCCATTCGAAGGGCACATCATCTGAAAGGGGTTCATAATATCTTTCTCGCATACGTTTTCTAACGCTATTAAGTATTTCTGATTTGTCAAGATCAGAATGAGGTTTTTTTAATTCTGCAATTTCCCACAATAACGCTCCAACGCTATAATATTAAAAAAGTCGATAAATTTTTTACATTTGATAAATCTTTAAAATCAAACACACGATTATTGCGATCTTGATTAAAATCTATATACCTGTAAATTTCACACTTCGTATCATAGTCAACCTTTTTCGTTTTATTATCCTTATTATTTTTATCATATAATAATTTTTCTGGAGACATATACCTTATATTCTCTAGATTATGTGAAATACTTCTTGTAGATTCTGAAAATTTTTTGCTTAGACCAAAATTTGCTATTTTAACTTTGGGATAATAATTTACTAAAATATTTGCCGATTGAATATCATGATGAAGGATCTAATCGTATAAAATAAATAATATGAATAAATATGAACAATAATAATAATAAAAAAAAAGTTAACGATTATACCTCACAATCATGAAGATATGCAACACCACGACAAATGTCTAAAGCGAATTTTATTTTAGTTTCCCAGTTCATCATATCTTTAAATTTGGTGTAATATTCATGTAAGTTTCCATGTTCCATCCATTCAGTAACCAAATAATATTTGGAATCCTCTTGAGCTACACCAAAAAATCTTATAATATGATCAGAATTTTTTAATTCTTTAAGAA